GTTCATAAAGTTTTTTTTCTTAAATCTGCGTTAAAATTATCAATTTTCCATAATTTTTTACTTCAGTATTTTTCAATCTAAAATTGTTGTTTTTGGAATTTTATACATTTTTGCAGTTTTGTATGCAGTCTATAACTTATTTTTCGCATCGGTGACGCGATTAAGTTTTTTTCACCATATTCGCTAATTAAATTTAGATAGCAAGTATGCTACGTTTTTTATCCACCTTTTTCATTTAAAGTTAAAGAAAATTAGAAAAAACTCGGACGAAATTAAATGTGTTAAATAAAGTTATTAAATTAAAGTTGTTATTTAAAAAATGTTGTGTTGAAATGAAGTTTATGAAATTAAGGATAAAATAAAGTGACACACTAAAATCGCTTAAAATTAATTAAATAAACAATTCGAGCAAAATTTTATTTATATCACTAGCTGTTAACGAGATATTAAATCATTTATGGAGTCATTACTTTTTAGACCAACGCGTCATCCGGGGGAGGTACATTGAACGTCCCTCGGACGACGCATTTCCACTGAAGTTGGACAAAATAAAGTGACGTCGCCCTATTTATATTTAAGTTTTCATAAAATTGGTTTTCTCCTGTTTAATAAAGCAATCAGGTAAACTTCCCTTTATAGCTGCAAAAAGTGTTTAGTAATAAAAAATAAAATAACGTAAGACTAATCATCACGATAAAATCATGTATATATGTTATATGTAACAAACTTTATTATATGTATATATAACAAAAAATAATTGTTTGATCTTTACGGTCTTATCACAGAGCACCGCGGAAGGGCTAGGAAGTTCATGGCTCCTTTCTAATTAATATTGCTTATTGAGCTAGAGCCAGCGTTGAACCTCGGACCGATGGGTTGTTAGCGTGAACCCTAACCACTGCGCCACGGCTGCCTTAAATTAATTTATTTATTTAAATACAATGTTTCAAAACAGTTATTTGGAAAAAATAAAGTGTTTTGAAACAGTTACTTAATAAAAAAAGGTTTTTGAAACGCATTATGATAAAATGTATTTAATTAAAATGCTATCGGCGGTAAAATTTAACGGCGTAAATGATCATAAAATACTTTTAAATATTATTGACGATAAACGAAGCCGTCAAAAAATGTTCCGGAGGATTGACCTACGGAAACGTGTGTAGAAGATCCAAAGATAAGAATATTTAGTTGTAAAAACATGTGATTCAAAATGTTTTTGAATTTTCAACTCAAAAAGACTTTGTTTTTGACAACCTTTTATCCTAAAAATGTTATTAATCCAGACAATAGATTTCTAAAAATAAATTCAGGGCATAGATATCTTCAAAATTTGATGCGGAAAAGTTTTAATAAATAAATTCAGGGCATAGATATCTACAAAATTTGATGCGAAAAAGTTTTTAAATAATGAATTAAAACATTTTCTCTAAATTTACAGCTGTAAAAATTCCAAAAAGAATAAAATTTCTATTAACCCTATGTGGAAAAAAAATTTTTCCACATGGGGTTGTTTTATATATTTATATATATATATATATATATATATATATATATATATATATATATATATATATATATATATATATATATATATATATATATATATATATATATATATATATATATATATATATATATGCTAATTTAAGTCAGCGCTGTCCTTAATAGAATTTGCTCTCTTAAAGATTTAAAGTAGTTGTTTTTAAAAATTTGTTTACTCTTGTCCTACCTTCTTTAAAGTGTAATCTATATAATAAAATGGCATTTGTCTCGAAGAAAGTTTTTTTTAAACATTATTATTGACCTGTCTACTTGTTTAAAGGTCTCAAGTAAACCTTTGAAATAGTTTAGGGGTCGAAATAATTATTTTTTTAAAATGTGGGTTTATTCTTTACAAGGGTGGGTGTTTAAGATAAAAGACAGAACAAACTTCAAATATTTTATGCTTTTGTATAAGGATGCTTTTGCAAAAAATTGTTATGATTAGAGCCTAGGAACAAGAAAGCCCTAAAAGTTTGGGAACAACTGCCTCAGACATAAGAGCAACAAGTTGATAAAAGTCTTTTTAGCTTTATCGATGATTATAAATTTTGTTAAGAATAATAAAAAAAATTTTATCAACTTGCTGCTTTCTCATTTAGGACAATTGTTGGCTAAATTTTAGGGTATTTTTGTTTCCAGGCTTTAATCATCGAAAATTTTTGCATAGTATAATATATAGATATAAGTATAACATATAAATGTTTGGAATTTGACATAAGTATTTCATAAATGTTTGGAGTTTGCTCCATTCTCAAACACCGAAAAATGCTGAATCCGTCTACCTATGAATGTATGTGTGTGTATATATATATATATATATATATATATATATATATATATATATATATATATATATATATATATATATATATATATATATATATATATATATATATATATATATATATATATATATATATATATATATATATATATATATATATATATATGTTTGTGCGGATACTTGTAGCA